GAAGGCTCTGCTTTTGCCATCCCAGAATGGGTTTTCCCCAGGTGATCAGGCGTGCTTCCCGCTCATGGTCGGCGGACCATAAGGTTTCCATCAAAACTTCATTCTGCAGCAGTCCTTGCCATACTGATGGCGTGTGCTGGTGCATCGGCTGCGCTCAGGTATCTGCTACAATACCCTGGTAGCAACGTCGGAGGCACTCCCAATTTAGGGTGCAAGGGGCGCTCATCAAAAATGACCGCAGGCCCAGTATGAGGTTGAAGTTCATAGCTCGTTTCGTCTTTGCCGTTGCGATTGGACCACTAGCTCAGTACCCTATCAGTAGCAGAGACTGGGTCAAACACAGCGCTGATCTTCTCTGTTGTCCTCCTTGCTACAGAGTTCATTTGAGGATCGTAAAGCATAATCATTCATTATAGTCACTGACCTATTTTTATTCCTAGTTGATTAACCCATTACGGGCTTGCGTTTCCGAAACCATGCTGTTAAGGCTCTTGAAGCATACTTCAACATACTAACGTATTTCGCAATGAAACGGTCTTAGACGGAAGGAATTTGAAATTGAATAGAAATGCGACAGGAATTATGAGACAACCCAATAAATACAGGCGAGCTGAGGGGAAATGGCACTTTCCACTGCGATGCCGCGCATGCGACATAGTCTTGATTGTGCCACCGTGAAGGCCGATGTCATAGTTTGCGAATCAGCGATTCGCTCGATTCGCAAACTATGACATCCGCCTTGCGTAGACCGCCTGAATCGTGTCCACAAAACAATCCTATGAATATTTACGCAACGATGGGCATAACTAATACACATGAGACCTACCTGGCAGACCGAATCTTGAATACGTGACAACATTGTGGTCCGCTCTGCTTTTGATCCAGTTTAGAACCCGATTCATGACCTGAGCACATCAATAGAATTGGAGAAAATTGCGCTACCTGTTGCAAATAGAACATCGATATATGACTGCAAAAACAGCGCCAACAGAGGCTAACATAACCAAATATATGACGTTTATTCAAGGCCACGAACACGATACCTCTAGGTTGAACTCTTAATTATCACAGATGAGAACTAGAGCTAGGAACAGAGTGACTAAAACTTAGGCTTCCATCGAGATGAACTCAGCTACCGGTATTTACAGGATTAATCACCACAATAGACCAGCTTTACTAAATGATACACAATGGTGAGTTGAACCTATTACTTCATCGAGTTCCTACGTACCTATTGGGGCAGTTGTAAAGGAATTAAGACACTAGTATTGCTAATCGTTAAGTAGCTGTCGCATGGATTGTTTGGCAGCTTTCAAAGCTTTCCTCTCCAATGTGAGTCCTATTACGCCGTACCATAAGCAGAAAGCCATCACAACCGTCAAAGTGAACCTAAAAAAAACTATATTGTGAAATTAAATAAGAGAATTCATGGAGCTATTCAGGGACGAGGAATAAAATAAAGGGGAACCAGTGGAATGTTTATGACGAAATGGCTTCTCAGCATATCGTATCTACACCGTTCTCCCGCCAGAGTAAGGTCAGTTGTCAAATTATAACGATCGAACAGCTTTGAATACATGGTGATCATCGAATCGTCCGACACGTCCGATTAGATGATCGAAACGTATCGTCACGATCGGGCAACCAACTATAAAAAGTGCCCCAACTGAGGATCAGCCTTCCCTCTTCGAAATAGTAACGAAGTTGCCCTTAGAGTCAACGCCTTTTTAGCCACGTGCGAGTTGGCACTTTAATATCAATGAGTCGAACAATAAACATTTAGTCCTGCAATGGGAGAAAACCATTTAAACTCACCTAAACACTGAAAGGAGCAAAGAAAGAAATGGGAAGATGTTATCCAGGAATAGAGATAGAATTATAGTAACGAATATGAATATTGCACTGCAGACAAACCACGTTCGGTCGGAACGTGCTCGCCGCTGTCCACCCGATACGATTCCTATCGCCTCAATGAGCAGTGGCCGATTCGGCTCCCATTCGCATGCCAACTGAAAGATTTCAAATTTAATCTATCGAAACATTTCACTAATCTTCTCAGTATGGTAAATACAAAGTCGCAAAACTGTTCAGTTTCGTGAGAAATACAAAACCTTCCAAACTGGGCTCTATCTATCAGGTGGGCATCCATGCTGATTACCAATAAGGTTAATTCTTACACATCCCTGAATTTGGAAGCGTATTGGTTTTGAAACTTCTGATCCCTAATTCAAACAGATAATATGCCCCATTTGTTGGTAAATCGACATGACTGCAGGGACCTAAAGGTGAGTGAGTTCCAGTCGAGAATTTCATTTCCATTTTCAGCTGGCAGGAAATTAGCAATAAATCACAACGACGAACACAATTCCCAAACATTTCATCTATTTCTTTCCCAGCATTTATGATGCACAATGGATCGATACGGCGACGGCCGTTAATGGCATGCAGGGGCAACGCTTTTTCGTAGCTGCAGGGGTTGCATCTACTCCTACTTGGAAGAGAAATAATTTCTCCGTCGCTACACAAAACAACCATAAATCAAGTGTGGAATGGATCTAAAAAAATAATTTCCATCAACAAAAAGGTTCTACAGTAAGGAAAGAATCTCTTGGTTTTAGCAGATTCAAAAAACTTGCTTTCAACGAACTTTGCACAACTGAAATCAACATTATACAGAACAACCACAGCTTTCCTCCTAGAGAAACGCCAATGGGAAGTGTACTCAAAAAAAAATACAATTATGCTGCGCTCACCGAGTCCAGGGTACAAGGGTACTAGCAAACTAATACAACACTACTCACCTCACGCTCGCCACTTGCAATCTTGAAAGTAGCCTGTACACCTACATGATCAGAATAGTTGAGGTTTTCATCAGGAATCTGGAACACCCTAATTTACTCAACACTCACAGACGCACTCCAGAGTTCATCCATGTACAATCTAGGAACTACAGGCATAACTTAACTAAAAAATAAATGAAAAAGAGACGGCGGAAGGGGCTGTAAGCAAACGGACGAAGAATTGTGCTCGAAAATTCCAAAAATTTAAAAGAAGCGAATTAAAATACAACAATTTGACACCACACCTTATTCATTGCAATGTCGCACTGCTTTAATGAGACAGGCATATGAACACCCTTGAACAGAATATAATCAATTCGTTTGCTTTCATCCTGAAACAAGAAAATATTTCCTAGGAAATTATCATAATACAACACTCACGTTCTCTCTAAATTTCTGCTCGGTATAGCAATTATCAGGACGATCACATGTTCCACCATGCGCAACGCCGCGACACTGACTTAACGACGAAACTGACGGTGGGTTCCCATCAGGAGATTCGACAGGATGAGCAAGCCTCCAGGCATCTAGCAGGCGAACTTGCGAAAGAATTAACCTTAAAGAGGGTTAAGTGGAAAATAAGAGGAATGTCTCATCATACACATACGATTAGGCTCAATTAATTGTGGTTAATAGTGTTTATTAATTACATCAGAGCTCAGACGATCTTGAGATGGAAATAACGCAAACCGAAAAAGTGGTCTAGCTCGTAGCCAAATTACGCTCCTTAAACTCTGGCAAAGAATCCAGAACATTCTTCAGGGCATTTCTTGATGAAGAGCTCTCACATTACGCTCTGCTTCCGCCTTTCAGGCACATATACGCAAGATACTTGTCAGGCGTGGAGAGGCTCAAAATGTTTCTGCCTAGGTTTTCACGCACGATTAACATTAACGTACAAGAAGAAGAACTTTGTGGAGAAGCTACAGTCACAGTCACGATCAAAGGCGTGGGCACACATGCGGACAACTCATAAGAACGGGTACAGAGCACTAAAATAGTCACTACAAAGGCCGTCAATGCAATTGGAGTTGGGCTCCTGAGTCCTTAGTCTTAGCAAAATAGGCTTTACCCCATACCCTGCTCTGGATACTTCCCCACACTTTCCTAATACCAGCTTCCTTCGCTTCTATGGGACCGAGAGAAATTTAACGACCTCTTTCGCCAGAGTATTTTGCCCAAATATGGATTAGCCCTGTGTGGCTGACCTTATAACTGTTTAACTAGCATGATCTTGAATCTATAATACCTGAACCCCAGATCTTCCGGCTCCATATTGAAATCTCCAACTACAATAACAACATCGGCACCATGGGCAGTGTGACGAACAAACTGACTCAGTTCAAATGACTGCGACGTCCTTAAACGGGTAAAGCAATTCTAGGAGGAACCACAGGACTATGATTACAACTCACCTATGGGGAAGATAAAGATCATTTTCACGGTTATACTCAGCATGAAGATGTGTTGCGTAAAAGTTAACTCGAATTTCACCAATCTCTATTTCAACCAAGCCAACCACCTTCATGAAATGAAGCTTAGCGACGAAAAAAAAATCACTAAAAATGTATGGTAGTTACCAACCTTACCACCGAACCAATCTCCACGATGGATGTGATGAGCAAAACCATTCAACGAGTACCTGGAATTGATTTTCGTTGACGTAGTGCCTACATAATGTTCAACAAGCTTCTTTCTTAACACTACGAGCAAAAAATCTCAAAATACTGACTACAGATAATTTGCTTCCGTCTTTTCCCAGAAGTCCTGCTACTAGCTTACATATAAGAAACTATAAATACTTCTGTATTGCTGAAAGATCCACATTAAAAATGAAAAAGAGGTATATCACCTATGAGTAAGCGTTGAGACTATAGGATAACGACTGAATACACAGACACCGCTTCCTGTGAACCCAGAATGAAAATAATGATGATAACGAAAACATGATGATAGTCTTTCAGCCATTTCAATATAGTCAGTGTTGCTCCATATTTCCTGTCAATTGCTTACATAAAACAACCAAATAAACCAAACAACCAAAACAAAACTTCACACATTCATCATTTGTCAAAGCCTTTCATCTTCAGGAACAAGTTAATACAAAAATGTATGAACATCGGCAGGTCCACGATAAATTCGCGTAGGATCGGAAAGGCAATATGTGGGGCTACGTGATGATACCCTCTGAGATTCAAAATGGAAGTCTGATGCGTGGTGCACTTCAGAGGGCCCACCTCGAATTTTTTGCGTAT